GAGGCGGGAGGAGAGGATGGCAGCAGGCTCTCCGGCTCTCCGAGAACAGCGGGTCCATGTTGGACCCTCGGGTGTCTGCTTCGTGGGCTCAGCGCCGAGACATTGGTCCAGAAGTGATGCTGAAGCCGTCAGAGAGGGAAAGCAGTCACCTCGGGCTGCGATGTCGGACCACCCGAGCCAGAGCTGCCCAAGGGTTTATTAGAATAAAGAACCCTGGTGGGACTCCACTTAGTGAATCACAAGTTTAAGAAGGTTGGACCTGGGGATCTGCAGTTTTCCCTGACACTTAGACACAAATTTTTTTCCTTTTTTTTTTTTAAGACAAGGTCTTGCTTCGGAGCCCAGTTTTTGGCCTTGAACACAGGACAATCCTTCTGCCTCAGCCTCCCAAGTGGCGTCATGTGCCATCACGCCCAGCTGTGAAGCTCTTAAGCACCACTTAAATGCAGTGGATTGTGGTGACTCAGAAGCCAATAGCCAGGTGCGGTGGCACATGCCTGTGATCCTAGCTCTTCGGAGGCCGAGGCAGGAGGATTGCTGAGAGTTCAAGGCCAGCCTGTGCTGCATAGTGAGTGCAAGTCAGTCTGAACTACACAGCCAGACCTTGTCTCCAAAAACAAAAACAAAGAAGCCAAGGGCCAGGGATTTAGTTCAGTGGTTCCGCCGCCTGCCTTGCAAGCACAAGGACCCGAATTCGATCCCCAATACCAAACAAAGAAACAAAAAAAAACAAAGAAGCCAAGAGGAGTTTCTAGGGAGAAAGGGAGTTGTGTGTGGAACCTCTGGTGGGAAATGATGAAAGAGAAAAGACCCGCTGGGTGGGGAACCAGAGCTGACTGGGCACCTGTGGGAAATCAGTACAAGTAGGATGACAGGCATGTACAGGAAGACTGGACGGGACAGGGAATGACAGCAGTGTGGGCTTGGAGGGCCCGGACTTGCCAGTGTATTTGGGTTACCAGGGGACTTCCCAGTCGGTACGTCCAGGATTCATTTCTACCAGCACTGGGGAATCACTGGGGTAGCTACTTTCTCAGGATGTCTGGAGCTGAGGAAAATAGAAAAAAGAATGGCAATTAAGGGCCGGGGATCTAGCTCAGTGGTTCCGCTGCCTGCCTAGGACCCAAGTTTGATCTTCAGTACCAAAAAAAAAAAAAAAGAACCAATTAAATAAAAGCCACAGAATGAATAAGAAACCAGGCTGGGGTGGGGGGAGTCCTTAGTCTCCGTCATGCCTAGCATTGCTTGAAGCTGAAGGAAGCAGTCAGGTTGAAGATGCAGTAGAAAGGAGGTGCACAGCACACCGTGCAGCACGTTCGAGGCCCATAAGAACGCTCCAGCAAAGAGGAGAAAACTGATGATGCCACAGATGACAGCAGTAATTCATGGGGTGATGTTCTTGAGAAAGCAAAAGAAAAAGCCTCTTCGGCTGGACAGTCACGACTCACTTTCTGGCCTCCTTCTCGAGGCCTTCCCTGACCTCTGACCCGGACTTGAAATCGCGAGGCCACCTCTCCCCTTCTCTCCTGACCTCCACCTAGTGTGCTCTTTACTAATCGGCCTTTCTCTCACTGGAAGGCAAGGGTTTTACCTATTCCATTCAATGCCGTATCCCCAGGACCCAAACGAGCTCCAGGACCTTTGGGGCACACTTGTCATTTAACTGTTAAATGAATAATGAGTCCAGGGAGAAAGCAGAGATCAGATCAGATCAGGGGCACAAGTACAGAGCTGGCCCCAGAAGGAGATGCAGTACATGTTCTTGGGGAAAGGACGTTTGCTGGCTTTGGACATCTAAGCAAAATCACAACAGTGACACAGGGCTTGCCATGTGCTGCGCAGGTCTTGCACTTCGGTCTTGACCACAGCGTGGTGGTCAGTTCTGTCATCACCCTGACACAGATGAGGAAACTGAAGCAGATTAAGGGAGATTAAGGAACGTGTCCAAGGTGATTAGCAAGTCGATGGCAGAAGTGGGATAAAAACCCAAGATGCTCGGCCTTTAGGGCTATGGCTTCCACCTCCACACCCCGCTACCTCTTCAAGGTTCTCCACCGAGAGGGGTGCAGCAGCAGTGGGACACAGAGGTGGGGAAGAGACTGGGAAGAGCAGCCGAGAGCTCACGTAGTACAGGTCCATCAGGAAGAGAACCAAAGGCTCTGCTGAGCAGCACGGCAGGCTTGGATTCGACCAGACAGTGATTTGGTGGTGCTGCCCCATCCACTGGGCAGGGCACTGTAGCAACCATCACACAGTTGAGCCAAGTTTGCGGGTTGGTGGAGCAGGCAGAGTGCGCAGGCGAGCAAGCGAGGATGGAAACGAGCTCGAACTGGTTGAACAAGGAACCCAACAGCAAGTTAATGGATTTGGGGCCTTGGGGACCCAGGAAATAGAGGTCATGGTGCCGAGGAAGGAAAGACTTTGGAGGAATATAAGGGAGGCAGGAAACCACCACAGTCAGAAAGGGGGAAATGGGGCAAGGGAACTGTCCAGAGGGACAAGGGCCATCTGAGGCAGGACGGTCACTGTGGTGACCTCATTTCCTCCAACCTTGGCAAACCCCTGACCTCAAATTCAAGCCAGGCGAAGCTCCGCCTCCCCTGATGGTAAAACTTAGGAATCAGATAACCATGAGGGAGATAAATCCAGAACTTTGCATCAGATCCTCGCATGAGTCTTTGGTTCCTTCCCCGGGAGCCTGTTTAGGTATCAAGAACTCTCAGCGGCTGCCAAGTTGGGAAGGAAGGAGGGATGTTGGGAGAGGAAGCTGCTAATCACTGGGCAGGTCTGTGTGAACGGAGCCCTGGGCGGGTCTTTTGCAAAGTAACAACTGATCCATATAAGCCAAGTATCTTAGCTTTCTAATAATCCATCCAAATCAAGTGCTTCTACAGAGGGTCGCCTACCACATCTCTGGGCACCTCTACCAGGAAACTCTGACATCAGCTTCCAGGGGTCAAGTGTTCGGAAGCTTCTCACGACGGGGCTCTGCTCCAAAGGCAGAGGCAAGGTGAAACGTCCTAAGTAGAAAATGCACTTAATACACCGACCCCAAGGAACGCCGTAATTCGGCACCACGGCGCACTGCCCCTTGCTTACCCTCGTGATGGCGCGGCTGACTGGGACTGCGCCTCCCACAGGTGCTCCATACTAGGAGGGGCTGTCAGGCTGCATATTGCAGGCCCAGGAAAATCTAAAAGCTACAATTGGAAGTACGGTTTTAACTGAGTGTGAATCACTCTTGTAACACTGTAAAGTTGAAATATGTTAAGTGGAGGGCACTGTTAAGTCGGAGCCACTTGTACTTGTTTTCCTGTGGTTGTCCACCAAATTCTTCAGAGTTATGACCACCAGGGGCGGGAAAAACCATCCCTTTAGCTGCAGCAAGCACAGAGGACATGCTCTGTTTAAGAGGAACGAAAAGCGACGGACAAATGGTAGCAAAATGAGTATTTCTCACCCTTTACAGGGATAAAATTCTGCCATAAGCCACAGTATGGATGAGCCTAGGAAACAGGCGAAGGGAAGCACCCCAGACCTGAAGGACAAATAAACTCTGATTCCATTTAGATGGGGAACCTGGAATGGTCAAGCTCATCGACAGGAAGTGGCACGAAGGTCAGCAGACACTGGAGAGGAAGTTAGTGTTTTAATGGCACACAGCTTCAGTTTGGGGTGAAAAAGTTCTAGAAACGGACGGTGGTGATGGTTGCACAATAATGTGAACGTATTTAATGGCCTTGAATTTTACACTTCGAATGGTTCAAAGGGTAAAATTTATGTTTTATATATTTTACTACAGAGGTTATAAAAACAATATGGAAAGTGGAAGACTACAGGGTGTGAAGATCTACTTTCCGAGAGAAAGCAACTATACACTTCCAGGAGGGCGAGGCGCCAACAGGATGGAGGGAGGGATCAGGGTGACTGCTCAGGACTCTTACACTGCTGGTGACCGCGAGCACTGGCGGAGGTGACTTCCAGGGTGGCAGGGTTGTGTTTCTAACTAACCATCAATACTCCCTTTAGGCACAGATATTTTGAGGTCAGGAGTCTTGTCTGATCCTTGTGGCCAGATCCTACAAGTTATTTATGACAGTTATTGAGTGTACGTCAAAGTTTGATTTGGTTTATACAAATGAAGAACAGATTGTTTTTTGTTTTTGTTTTTTGCAATACTGAGAATTGAACCAAAGCCTCCTATGCACCAGGCAAGAGCTCTACCACTGAGCTACATCCCCAGCTCTCAGCTGTCTTCCTGAAACTATTATATCTGCCTGGAATGAAATGACATCCAAAACACTGAAACAAGCTAAGCCACTACTCTTAACACAATCAGGACAAAGGCTTGAAAAATCTCCCTGAATGTCACAATTTGCCCTGGTGTACATTCTTGGTGAGCTGAGCGTTATTTTCACAGAAGGAAGCTCAGTTTTCTCCTTTTATTCTAAGGCAGTGATGACAAACTTCTTAGAGCTTTCAGTAACAAACAGCCAGCTGCAGCATGAGTGCCACCACGTTCTTAGTCATCTTGGAAAGTGGTACTTTGCCCATCAAGTTCCTCAATGCCTACAAGGGTATAATAAGGGATAAACAAAGCGATTTATAATTCAGAGGGAAACCAGGTTTATCTGGAATAAAAAATATGCTAGAAAAAATGGCTATTTGTTGCTTTTGGCGATTTTTCCAAAACCCCTCCTTTTGCGAATAGAGGAGGAAATCTAAGGGAAGGGATTAAGAGTCTCACAGACTTTCCCTGATAATTCTGCTAATCTAATCATATTTGACAAGCAAGCTGATTAATTTAATTATCCAAGAAATTGGATTATCTGGGTTTTATATATCCGCTGCCTATAGATCAGTATCATTTTACTATATAATACACTGGGACAGAATTGTATCATCTTGCATTTGACTTAACAATCTATTTAAAAATTAAAGGGGCCAGGGATTTAGCTCAGTGGTTCCAGTGCTTGCCTCGCAAGTGTAAGGACCCGAGTTCAATCCCTGGTACCAAAAAACAAACAAACAAACAAAAAAACACAAAACAAATAAAAATTAAGACTTGTGCTTATGCAATTACGATGTTAAGGGAAATTAGAAACCAAAGAGACTGATATTTATAAAAACGTATTTCAGGAAAGGATTTAAAGAAAGCCCTTTCCAACACTTTTGTAAACTGAGGAACATACGAATTACTTTAAAGAGAAATAAGTTTCTTCCTAATTTCACTCCAGATTATGTCAAAAACAAAATATTCGGCAATCTTGAGACTTTTGGCTCCCCAAATTTCAGCCGCACTGCTTTTCAGAATGATACGAAATCATGCAGCTGACAAAAAGCCGAATGTTTATATTCTTCCAAGTGCTGAGTGTTACTGCAGTACTCCAGCATTCACCACACTGAGCCAAAAGGAATCGTTCGCTTCCATCACCCAGGTATTGCATAAATACGGTTAGAACAGAACTTCCTGGGGTGGCCAAGACTGTTGACTCTGAGCCAGGAGGAATTCTGAGGACACAACTGTCCGTGTGGCACGTAGAGGGTTTTTCAGTTGCCACGGCATCTTCAGAGAGTTTTCAGTTTGTCTTTGTCTTGCTCTTTTTGACTGCAGAGTGCAAAGGATTCCTGCACGAACTGCCTGCACATCGGGCACTGCTGGAAATAGCGGACACAGCCATCGCACAGGCACGCGTGCCGGCAGGGCAGCAGCACCCAGTTCACACTCCCGTTCTGGCACACGACGCAGTCCTTGCTGCTCTCCTCCGGCGGCTCTGCCTCGCCTTCACACAGCCCAGCCTTCTCCAGCAAGCTGCGGTCCACATTCTCCTCTTCTGGCGAGGGACCGCTGGAGGGTGTGGAATTATTATTTGCAGACATGAAAAGTTGCTGGAAAAAAAGTGTAAAGATAATTACAAGCAACAATTACCCTTTAAGTCGGGGGTCGTGAGAGCTACTTAAAATTTATGAGCTAGCAAATCCAACAGCAAAGAACAGTTCATTTCTATCATAACTGAAAAGTGTAATTGTTGCTTTATAAACAGCCGTTCTTTGAAACTCTGTAAGCAAAAGAGACAGAGATAAGGCACAACTTACCTTAAGATCATGAAATTGACCTTGAGCCAGGAGTAAATATTGATACAATATTCTGCAGGGAAGTTTATAAGTCTTATCAGGAATATGAATTACTGAAACCATGGAAATCTAAAATAAAAATTGGACACTAGTCAGTACTTGATCTTCTTATATTACAAACACATAAAAAAGCTTCTTCAAGAAAAATAAGAGACCAATATAATTGGGAATACTTATAGTTTACACGAAATCATAGAAAATTAAAAATGAAAAAAAATCTAAGCACCACAAAGAAAAGGAATGTGAATACATTCTACGAAGATAACCTTGTCCTAAGAGGGAAAAAAAAAAAGCAGAAATTCACTGTATTGAATGACTTCAAATACAGTCAGAGTCTGAAAGGCAGCTGGCTTTTACGGACCACCTTCATCTGATGGCCCATAAATTATCCCGGTGATAGTTTCTTGTATGTCACATTTTTTATTTAAATTTTTTTCCCAACTGCCCCCCCATTATTTTAAACTGTCAGCATGATTCTTACAGTTAGCTACGCTTTGTATTTCATCTTCACATCCTTTCCAAAACTGGAGGGATAAACCATATAAAGCCTTCTAGAGAGTTCTGTTTACATATTTTTTGCAAACCTGCATCCCAGGAAGTAAATTTGCACAACACTGACTTTGTGAATATAAGCATTATGTATAGAGATGGTGAAAGTTCTTCAGGCAATGAAGAAAAGTCCTTTGGCACATCTGCATTTGCGAACAATAAACTTTCTTGAGATCTCAGCTCTTCGGAAAACAGTGTGCAGTGGGGACCCATTAGGGCTTTGATCAGTCCCACCGCAGGGCTGTGGGGGTGGGCACGGCACTCAGAGGACACTGTCAGAAAGGTGGGGCCACAATCACCACGGACAGTGACGTGCTGCTAGGTGGTCTGCGTGGTGACCTATTTCTCCATGAATACAGCTTGTGTGCTTATATCTGTTACGCCTGTGCAAAAGTCATTTGTACACTTGAGTGCTTACAGTCACAAAAATATGTAAGAAAAGGACTTGAAGGTAAGGTCGATGAATTATTATACTCAGACGCTAATAAAGAAAAGAAATCATGAGCAAAACACCCAAGAAGTCTGAGACATAGTTAAAAGACCAAATTTATGAATGTTTAGTGAATAAGAGGGTGCAGAGGTTCAAAGTGATGGCACAGAAAATCTGTTCAATGAAATAATAACAAGTCTTCTCACATCTTGGAAAAGATGGGACATCCAGGTACAGGAGGCATTCAGAACCCCCAAACAGAAGAGAGAAGAAAAGAACCTCCCTAGGTTAAAAATGGCAAGAATACAGAACAAAGAGAGAATACTGAAAGCTGCAAGACAGAAATTCCACATCACTTACACAGGTAAACCCAGCAGAATAGTGCAGACTTATCTGCAGAAACTCCAAGGCCAGGAGGCCACAAAATGATATATTTCAGGCCCTGAAAGAAAATGACCGCCAACCTAGATCACTATAGCCACCAAGGCTAGACTTCACAACTGGAGGAGAAACGAACATCTTCCCAGATGAGAGCAAAAGAAATTCATGACCACTAAGCCAGCACTGCAGGACACACTTAAAAGTATCCTACACGTGGAAGAAGAAGAGGAAATAAGTATTGAGAATTACAAAATAATCAAACATAAGACATCAGAATCTCTGGGACACAGTTGAGGGAAGTTACAGCTGTGAGGGCCTCTATCAAAAATCAGAGAGAGAGAGCTCAAAGAATAACCTAGTAACACATCTCAAAATATATCAGGGACCCACGTCTAACTGTGAAATTCCTTCATGTCTCAAACATGCTTTGTACCCAGAGCTCACAGAGCATTTGATCTGCTATTCTGGTACACAGGCTCCATATGCAGTCAGGGGTGGAAACCTCTACTTGTGACATTAAGTCAGTGCTCGAAACATTTCAGTTTTGAAACATTTTGGATTTCGGAGTTTTAGACGAGGGGTGTTCACCCTCACAAATTCCTATCATACTTAGACGCTGGCCAAGGCTGCAGTCCTCTTCAACCTCCAAGATGCTTTTATCTTCCTAGTAGGGTTAAAGTACCAGACTAAAGCACTAATTAGCACATAATAAGAAAATGAGGTTACTGTAATCACTGCAAACATAGGGACCAGGCAGAGAGGGAGCAGCAGGGTGCTCATGAAGACAAAGAGAGGACAACCATGTGAGAAAAGGGTACTGTGTGCACACTGAGCACCGCAGGCCACTACCGTGCTCAAACAGTCAACACTAACACGAGAGAAACAAGCATTTCCAACAGACTTTTTCTATAGAGCAAACAGGGTACAGAGATAAAATTAACTCAATAATAACGCATCTTTTATTTTCTAAATAAAGTCATATTCTGGTGACCCATAAGGAAAAACAGGTTATAGCCTGAGGGTGCTACTGCACCTAAAAAATAAAATAGGCACACATCCTATCTTATCACTTGTCAAGAAAAATGTGGCCAGGCCCAATGCATATCTTCAGAAATTAAAATAATTTTTCTATTTCAAAAAAATAGTTAAGAACCACCACGCCATCCAAATCACTTAAAGGCAATGCTTTCAGAATTTTAAAATTACTTACAATATCATAAATCTCTCGGTCACACTCATCGGCTAAGGTCAACAGCGCCACCAACGGATAACGAGATCTGGGCACCATCCCAAAGTCTTCAATTTTAGTGTCTCTTGGTAACTGGCAATATATTTCTTCTTTGCTGTCCTTTTTAATACTTTCGAAAATGTAAAGGCAAAATGCCACTGTAGCCAAAGAATAAAAATATAGCAAAAATAAGCGATACCCAAGGGACGTTTTGCTGTATCCTGGAAGTCCGCTGTCCCGTGCCAGCGGGAATGAACACTGGGTCAAAGGATACAAGAACTGCTCCTGGTGGAGGTGCTCACTGTACAGGGCATTGTCCAGCGCCTGCGGAGTGCTGATGCGGAAGCCGTAGGCGTGCTTCTGCAGGGCCTCGTGTAATTTCTGGACGCTGCAGCCCCAGTAGCACGTGAGGCGGCTGTCTTCAAGGCAGTCTGTTGTCAGCGTTATGCCAGCTGCAGGAAAACAAAGGAGGAAGAGAATGGAAATCAGCTCAGGCAACCTGTGGTACAATCTGCAGGGTGCAGAACACCAGCATCCGTGCTTCCGGGGGCCGCTGACAGCAGCCGGCCACACCCGGAAATATGGGGGCTGCCGCTCACTTTCAATCTCGCTATAGTTGTTGAGTCCCGTCTCTCTTCCTCCTTCTATTTTCAGCTTAGAGTTAGGTTATCAGTCTGATTTTTCTCTTTCACTGACGCTAAGCTGTGTCCTACTCTGGCAGAGTAGATAACCCTAGTGACAGGAAGCAGGACAGCAGGCACAGTCACCTCCCAAAGTGGACACACGTAACCCATGGGCCCCAGAAGAGGGTCACCGAGGGGAAGACATCCTGAAGAAACTGAGCTTTACTAATATTAATAAACACATTTATAACATTCAACAGTCTGTTGCACAGTTAATGTCCCAGGTAATATGCAACGGAAAGAGTGCGGATTCCAAAACGTAGAGGGTTTCGTATCAGTATCCTTGTTTGTTTGTTTCCAATGGAAGAAAAGATTACTATTTTTGTTCATTTGACAAGTGGATATATTAATTGCAAACAGACATGCAAATTATATAGCTATTTATCGTTGTGCATTTATACAGGACCTACTAGGTGCTACCAATGTGATTATTCTCTCCTTAACAGTGGCAACTGTAGCATTGTCAAGTTCAAGGACAACGACATCCAGGACGGCAGTGGTGTACTTGGCTAGACCACAAGGGCACAGTTCTGGTCACTGTTCTGGGCTGAGGAGCTTGGTTTCTTTGTTTTTCTAAACCTAGCAGCAATTCTACGAGCTATGCAGTATCATTTTACTGGAATCTTTTCCACTCGCTGCTAACAGAAATACTGAGGGACACCTTACTCGTTTTTGAAAAATGTGATGAAAAGTCGTGTGTGGAGGAGACACACGCGTGTAAGCAAATGCTGCACAAGATACCAAACCTTGAGTTTTTCACTTCTCAGTATTCAGCGGGCGACAGACACGGTCTGAGGTTCTGGGTATGCTCAGCAGCAGTACCGTGGTCATTTCTAATCAGTCAGGCAGAAATTTTAATTGGTGGGAGATCTACATAGGCAGTTGGAGCAAAATGTGATTTCAAAGTTTTATATGATTCCAATCATCAGGTATTATTCGAAAATGGAAAATTCCATTAGCTATTCAATAACTGGAAAAACAGTCCATCTGTACAAATTTATACACAAATACATGAAATCACACATTCTTCTCCGTGTCACTATAGACCCCACAACATGAAGTAGGAGAGAAAAGCTGGATGTAGATAGGAAAAAGAAGACTAGAAAAAATACGTGAAAAAGTGGAAGGAGGGCCGGGGATTTAGCTCAGCGGTTCGGTGGCCTGCCTTGCAAGCGCAAAGACCAGAGTTCAATCCCCGGTACCAAAAAAAAGTGGAAGGAAAAAAAGAGCAGAAAGTAACTACTTTAATGTTACTGTCCTACTGGCGAAAACATGGAAAGCATAAGCACTGCAGGGTGAGCCATCACAGCAAGATGCTGGAATCGACCCTGAAGTCCACCAGCAGGGATTATATGAATAAAATACTGTACAGGGCAGTGCTGTGCAGCTATTAAGCAAGAACTGAGGCATGGTGGAAGGAAAAAAAGAGCAGAAAGTAACTACTTTAATGTTACTGTCCTACTGGCGAAAACATGGAAAGCATAAGCACTGCAGGGTGAGCCATCACAGCAAGATGCTGGAATCGACCCTGAAGTCCACCAGCAGGGATTATATGAATAAAATACTGTACAGGGCAGTGCTGTGCAGCTATTAAGCAAGAACTGAGGCATGCTGGGGATGCAGCACAGCTGGGGTGCTGGCTTTGATCCTTAGCGCACAACAATAGATAAACACATTTTTTTAAAAGCTGGTCAGGGTGGCACAAGGCTATAAAAATACCAGCCACTCAGAAGGCTGAGTCAGGAGGATCACAAGTAGAGTCCAGCATTTGCTGTAGCATATGTGGATGACCCTGGGTTCAAGCCCCACTACCATCAAAAAAAACTTTTGAGGCATATCATAGTATGCATATGTACTAGTACAAAATGACCTTCAGATTATATTATTAAGTGAAAAAGCAAGGTAGAGAAAAGTACAATGCATATGCATATATGTGCACAATACAGCTTATCTCATAAGAGGATATCCATGTATCTGCTCACACATGAAAAAAATATGGGGGCTGAAGATGTGGCTCAGTGCTAGGACATCTGCCCAGCACTCTGGGGTTTGATCCCCGGCACTGGCAGGGTGCGGTGGTGGGAGGCAGGATAAAAGCCTTTAAAAAACACCCAACTTACAGGACATACCCAACTATCAGGTTTACTTGCTTTGCGAAAAACCGGAGCTCCCAGAAAACAGCCCAGACTCAGAGCTGCACAAAACACTGCTGCAGACTTTGTGTACTTGACTGGAAGGAAGTGCTTGAGATCTCTGACGATGGAGCATCAGTAGTTTCATGCACCCCTTTAACGAATATTAGAAGTTAATAAAAAGAACTGAAATTCGCTTCTCCACATCCTTTCATAAATTTGACCACATTACATAAAAGCATAAAAGAATTAGTAATTTATACCATCTGACAATATTTCACATACTCCTACGCAAAACTATTCTCCCCACTTTTACGGAGTTCCCACTTTCACGTTTCCTTAGTCTTCTAAATCCCACTGCACTCACAAAACCATCTTAGACCAATCGTGCTGACAGAACTAGGACATAACTGCAAAGCAGAAGATTCAGAGTCAAAGCTTTAAGCGAAGAAAATGGTGCAACTTCTCTCAGCTTGCTCTTATTCAGCAGAGCTGCAACAGGCGATAAAGCAAAGTATGAGACAACTTTGTAAAAAGCTGGAAACAAAAACAACAAAGTGTAAATCTAATGCATTAAGTCACTGGGGCAAAAAAGAAACAAATAGGGGGACAGGAGAGCCACAAACCTTCTTGAGGAAAAGTCCCCCTCCTCAAAGAGTAAGAGGCGCAGTGTAGAGGAGACCATGCATGATGGTAATACAGCCCCGTTGCTGGGAGATGAGATTTTAGGTTGCAGGAAAAGAATTGCACAAATGCCTCCCAGAATGCTATGTGTGTTAGTCTGCCCAACTCTCTTGCTTTACATTAGCTCTACCACGGTGAATAAGCTAAACAAATCAAAGAAGCTGTTTGTAAAATGACAGAATTCCTGAACCAAACTAATTCAGCTCAACAAATACTACCAAATACCTTTAAAATTTTATTAAAGCTTTCATCGTGCGAAGCCAGAAACACAAATCCAAACACAGTATCATTGCATACCCATAAAAACTATCCCAATAACCTACTTCTAGTAAGCAGAACTAAGTAAGATTAAACCTAATTTTCTCCTTTGTTTTCTAGTCAAATCAGGTTTCTAGATGTTCTCCCTCATGTCAGACATTTTGGGTATAGTGGTTTAAAAAAAAAATCCTGGATTACTAAACTATCCACACATCAAACACAACCTTTTAAAATGTCACAAATACCGTCACAAGATTATCTCAGCAACCTGTGGAGACATCTTTTGTGACACCCTCCTTTCTACAGATTGAACAAATGAATTTTATTCTGCTAAGTACAACTCCCACTACAATCCTTGTTTTTCCTATAGAAGCCAGAGAATGAACAAGCATTGGCAACTTAAAAGGTGCAATTTTTCAGTAATTATGCCAAAGGCCACACACTGAAAACTGTTCCTGCATGTACGTAAGTAACGCTACAGCTGGCGTGTGGGCACAGCCGAGGGGTCTGTGCACTGGCTCTTCCACGTGCTTCACACACGAGCAGGGCTGGCAGATGTCTGAACGTTTCTGCTCTCCTGGAAGGGCAGGCTGGCGATCTCGGCGTACTTCCGGCTCGCAGGTGTCCCAGCTTTGCTTACAGCACAGCAGCTCTCACCACTTTCTCAGCATCTGCAGGCAGTGCAACTGCACTACAGGAAGGACGCCTCCTGGTCGGAGGTACTTTTATTTGCAGTCCTGCTCAAGAGCCACATGTGACGCTGCAGCAGATTCGAGTCCAAAGTCACCGATGTGGGGGTTGCTGAGCCCCACTATTCTGTATTCATCAAGTGCACAGTCTGCCATCTTCTCAACAGATCGGTGCTCTCTGTGTCCTGTCTTAACATTTACTTTTCTGGGGTGCAAAACACCAGAATGAACTCTTATCTACTCACTATCGGGTGAAAAAGGTCTTGGTTCTTTCAATTCACAGGGTACATTATTTACAGTTAAGCAGGAAGAATGTGACATTTTATACTTTTTTTCCTCTTAAATCATGATTTATTCAAGGTTAGTGATCAAGAGTGACTAAGTAAACTGATTTCTGACAGGTTATTAGGCTCTAGAAGTCAAAAGTCATGAGGATTACAGTAAGTCCCTGACTTCCAAACATCCACATTGTGATGTTCACAGATGAGAACCGATCGAGGGGTTAGTTCACGTGTCTGTCACGGCCAGGCTGCCATGTGCCTGCTGTACAGTGCGACAGTGCTCAGTTTGAGCCTGGGATATCTGGAAGCCAGGAAAGCTGTGGCGACGTGGAGGTGACTGCTGGGAAGAGCAAAGCAAAAATCATGGAAACAAAAGTGAAAATAACTGAGAGACTGGACCGGGGCAAAAGAGATGGTAGACGTGGCTTGTTCTTTCAACATGAAACATTCAACCACTGGCACAATTCCAAAGAACAAGGACAAGACCATGGAACACGTGAGCTGTTCAAAGCTTCACATTGTATATTTGTGTCAACGGTGTGTAAGATTCACTCTGATGGACTAAAGAACGAATCCAACTTGTCATCCAAGGTGGGGACTCATTGTACTAGGTGAGAATGCTTCAGAGCTGGGCGTGGTGGCACATGCCTGTAATCCCTGCACTCTGGGAGACTGACGCAGGAAGCTCATCAGCCTGAGTGACTAAGGAACTTAATGACCCCTGTGTACAAATCAAAATTTTAAAAGGGCTAGGGAAGTAGCTCACTGCAAAGCCCTGGGTTCAATCCCTGGTTCTCCAAACCAAACAAAGCGAAACAATCAAAAACAGTCCACAGAAGTCAGGGGCGCGATGTCAAGAAGGGGAGGACTCATCCACTCTGCTCAACACTCCAAGGGCGCATCCACACAGGCCCGAAGCCTCCGCGAATGTGATGACCCCTGGTGGTCACAAGCTGGGACACAGAGTCAGACTGCACTGCTCCAGGGAGTAAGAGGGAAGAGAAGAGAGGAAGGCAGATGCAAACAGCTTCTACTGAAGAAGCTGGGGAGAAGGAAAGGAGAAAACGGGACAGTAGCTAGAATAATCTATTTGTTTCTAAGATACATGAAAAGTGAGCAAGAGTAAAAGGTGTGGGTCTCAGCTCAGAGCCCTTTGGAGGCCACGGAAGTGCGCCTACAACTCCCTGGTCTCAACGCTACTGAACTCTCCCAAGGGCGCTCTGCAATCTGCAAGTCCAAAACTGCTCACTACCCTTCTTTCAAACCCTCTGCCAAGTCTCCCCCCGGCTGACCTCCCTTACCTGTCTGCCCTGTTTCTCTCCATCAAGTGACTTCCCGTTTCTCTAAAGTATTATTGTTTGCAAACTATCTCAAAACTTTGTTCACGCTTCTCCCTCTACCTAGAAGTTTCTCAAACCTGAGGTAAACACCTACTTATCTCTTAATCAATGGTCCACACAAAAGAAGGAAAACACTTTTTAAAACCGAGACAGCATATTCTTTCCTAGGAAGCCTTTCCTGAATGGATCTCTTCATCTCAGCAAAGGTAACCATGTCTTTCTTTATAATTCCCTACAATGGTTCTTAAATGGTCCTGTCAAAAATTTATTTTTCCAAGGAAAGTGCAGAAACAACTGCCATCCATTAGTATCATCTACAAAAATAACACATGAAAACAATTTCTACCAGAATACCATCGTTTCAGATTAAAAGATCACTATTCTTCAGAAGAGAGCAACCCAGAAGAGAGTAACATTAGTTATACCCAGACAACTGCCATTTCCCACTTAAATGAAGATAACAGAAATGGCACAAGGTCCCAAGAGACTTTTCTTGGGTTTTTTTTTTGGTGGGGGGGTGGTACTGGGGATCAAACTCAGGACCTTGCGCTTGTGAGGCAGGTGAAGCACCACTGAGCTACATCCCGGCCCGCGACTTGACGCTCCATTCTTCTCTTGTGTACGTGTCTCTCCGTGTTCACTAGGTGATACATTCCTTAGAACAAAGAATTTAAGATTAAATTCTTAATCTATGTGTCTGCAGTATTCAGTTTAGACCCTAGAACAAGAAAGCGCTCAATAAATGTCTGGTAAAAGATTAAAGAGAAAGCAAAAGAGAAAGAGAAAACGGGTAAAGGGGAGCACACAGCAAGAGGAAATCTTTGTAAAATAGCCACCAACTTGTAATTGAAGCTGTGGATGGATTTGTGATTTCTAGGCCGAAAGGATTCTTCACTTGTCGCATCTCCTTTTTGAAAACTCTTGTGCTGAATGGGGTCTCTTCGGAATTCCTCAGAATTACCGGAACATCCCAACCAAACCTGAAGAAAGGAAAAAATAAAACATAATTTTAGTAAGTATTTGAACTTTATGTCAGATGTAAAGTACGTAACACTTCATTAGCTCTTCCTTCTAACCTATCACGTTAAGGCACTCCATTTACACTGCTTTGGAGAATTGATTTAGAATTTAGAGAAATTTAAGGTCTCAGAATTTCAATATATTGTTCATGTGGCTAAACTGTCACACTCTTAAAACCAAAGAGAGGGCCAGGGATTTAGCTCAGTGGTTCTGCTGCCTGCCTTGCAAGCACAAGGTCCCAAGTTTGATCCCCAATACAAAACAAAAACAAAAACACAACAAAAAACCAATAAAAGAGCAAAGTGATTACAGATAAATTATACTTCATATAAAAGCAAAGATATTATAGAATTTTAAGTATTTTACAAAAATGTTAAAAAGATATACATATTGGATATACAGACTATCTTATATGACTGGCAGAGCAGAGCAATTATTGAAACAGCACAGTGCTTCATTTATATATTTTCCACTTTTAAATTTCACGTAGAAAGAACTCTAACTGAACAGATTTGAAAGCAAAATGAAAGGGACTAAACTCAATTTCCAGTAAAATGAAAAAACCAGCTAAGTTCACTCAGTTTAAATAAAGCAACTTAACATGAGCACACTCATTAAACTAGGAGACTTCAGTTAGGCTCATACTTTGATGAGCTCCGTTCTCTCCAAGTACAGAGAATTGACAGATGAGAGATAAAAAGGAAACCAAACTGATGCTGCTGAAATAAGGAAACAAGTTGTTATATTGAAACAAAGGAATAGTAGGCTAAGCATTGAGGGGGAAAAAAAAACCCAATATTTTGGTGTGATCACCTGGGTACACTTCAAAACATTCTGCTGTGCAAAAGAAACCTTACACAAAGAGTACACGCAGCATGAATCTCGTTAAAGTCTGCAATAGTAACCTAGGGGAGAAATAAAAAGGAGAACAAAGGTAGTTGTTTGGAGTGCTGGGAAAGAGCGTAAGGAAACTTCCCTTGGTAATGGAATCTGTCTCTTGATGGAAGTCTGAATGTGCACATTATGTGCTTTATAAGCCTTGGCAAATGGGACGCTTAAAATCTGTATATAAATATTTCTCGAAAAGAAAAAAGAACCGTAAACAAAAATCAACATTGAACTTCAGCTAATAATATTCGTGCTCCAGAACTTGTGGGTAAAAAGTACAACTGATTTGAAGGGCATCCTGAAACAAGACGGGCTGATGGCTGGGTAGAAGGGTTAACGAATGGACGGAGAGCGACAAAAAATGATGGGAGGACGTCGAGCATCTAAGTGATGGGTAAATGCACATTGCCTGTACAGTTCTTTCTGGTGTTGCGAATGTTTGGGGGGGAAAGAGACAAAGCTGGGTTTAAAGATAAGTATTTTTATAGACCTGAAAATAGAAACATATGAAGACCGATGCATGTTTGGATGGGGTCTGAGTCTAGTAGTGGGAGAGGCAACTAGGAATTCAGGTACCAGGGACGCAGGGGCGCTGTCCATGAGGTTCTCAACAACAGCAGCCGGCTGAGGTCACTGTCAACCTGGGACAGGCTTGGTCCTGGACTGGGGAGGGGTGTTGAAGAATCTGAGTACAAATCATGATAAAATAGCTAAATAGTGAGGATAAAATGAAAGGGAGAAACAAAATAAAAACAAAACAAAACTCTCCACTAAGATATAAGTTGCAAACTAAAATTTCAAAACATATCAATATATCTAATGCTAAGAGAAGGCTGAGAAAGTTCAGAAGTGGAATAGAAATTCACTGAGGATGATACATTTAATTTAACAGTTAGGTAGGGATGTTCTGGCCTCTGAGTAACTTCACTGTGACTCAGAACAAAGCTCAAGAATATTTACAAGAATACAAAAATGCTCAGTACCCTATAAGGTAAAATTCACAATGTTTTGCAGCTAATAAAAAAATTAAGTCGTGCAAAGGAGCAGAAAAATATTACCATAGTGAAAACGAACTAATCTGTAGAAACTGATCAGAAATGATAAAGATACTAGAATTAGTAGACAAGGACATCAACAGAGTTGTTATAGTTCATATCTTCAAGAAGGTGAATAAAGATTGAGCATATTGTATAGAGACACAGAAGACAAAAGGCCCAAATTTGTTTTTAAAGATGACATATACAATGTTAGAGATGAAAAATACACTGAGGGATTAATAGCAGACTACACACCGCAGAATAAAAAATGAATAAACTTGAAAACAGCACAATTTAAAAAGTACTCAAAATGAAACAGAAAAAAACACTGAGCAAAAAATAGACAAAACACAAGTTGATCAAGCAACAACTTGAAGCATCACAACACACAGGTGACTTAAGTCTTCAGAGTCAGGGCACAGATAGAGCATTGAACATATAACTGCCAAATCTGCTGAAAAGTATGAACCCACAGATCCCAAAATCTCAATAAAATCCTAGCATAAAAAAAATGACAAAAAAAAAAAAATCACACCAAGGCACATAATAATCACACTGCTTAAAACCAGCAGTCATGGAACATGGCCAGGAGTGAAGGTCTCACAGGGCTGGAGCGCAGCAGCGGCAGAACCTGGGAGGACCGAGCAGAGCTGGGCTGCTGACCCGTCTTCTGCTAGGGAGGATGTCCAGCTCATCGCGCCCCAGCGCCCTGGTCCTTTGGCTGTTGCTGGTCTCTTGCCTCCTTCCTCCCAGGGCCGGGTGCCACTTATAATGAGGATTGTCACTTGTGAGGGCGTCATTGATTCGAAACACCCCTGTCCCCGGTCACCTTGCGGTGCAACCTCACCTCCAGCTCTCACATCACTGGGCAAAGAATGGGTGGAACTGGCTGCCAACTGGTGAGGATGCCAGCAGATGGAGCACGGGATCAACAGGCTGAGGGCCGGGTGCTCAGGCGAACCACGATAATTGTGTCAGCGCTCCTAGCACAAATGCCACCGTTGAAAGGAAAGCGGTTCCTGGTGTCACTGGCCGTAAATGGTTTGAGAATGAGAATGAAGGGCAGGATCCCAAGATGTACAGGGAGTCAGCGGGCCGCCCCTACCCGGAGGGCGTCTGGCACAAGGAGAATGGGACACCCGTGCAGACTGCCGATACCTCTGGCTGCATCTTCATTATCAACAAGGAGACTTACACTGCGTTGAGTACTCTCAATCTCCAGATCACAGAAGGCCCCGGTGAGTACGAATGTAATGATCATGCTACTGACTCCATCAGCTCTGCCTGTGGCAGCACCAGCTTCAGGGCAGGGAGCTGCCTGGCCCCACTCTTGGCCTTTCTTGGGAAGTTAGGCTGAAATCATCATCCTTGTGCTGATCACCGCTGGGGTGAAGAAGAGGCCAGATGAGGTTCCTGTCTTACCTTTTGTTTAATCGCGTAAATTCTTAAAATCCTTTCGCACTGATGTGCATTCATTCTTACTGTGGTGCATTCAATCAGGGCAAACTTTCATAACGCACCTTTTCTTTTGCAATGACCTTGACATGTTAGAGCATGGTGAGATGCATGCAGCCAGGTACGCTTTTTGGTTTCATGTTGAACTTTTTCACACAGATGGAATGGTTGGTGTTAAATTTTATAACCTGGCCAGGTTCTCGCGTAGAATACAAGATGCACGAGACACGGGTCCCAGTGTTCTGTGCAACTGCTGAAGTCCAGTGATGTGCAACAAAGTGGGCTCATCTGTTTTTAACAATAAAATATTGATAAGAGGAGAGAGGAGCAAAAAAAAAAGAGTATTTTAAAAGAAGCCAAGGAAAGAGATATACTACTAGGAGAAGAATACAGAATGACAGTTTTCTTATTAGAATTACTAAAAGCCTGAATACCTTGAAAGGAAAAAAAATCATTAATCTAGAGTTCTAAACCCATATTTTTCAAAAGCAAAATAAATACTTTAATGCATAACAAAGCTAAAAAGAATTAATTGCCAACAGATATGCGTAACAAGAAATATTAAAAGAATTCTTTGGGAAGAAGGTGATTGGTTACCAAATGGCAATTTGTACTGATAGAAAGAAATGAATAGCACAGAAATGGTAACTGTGGGAAAATATAACATTCTTCTTATTATTTAAATATCTTTAAAATATTACTTAAAAGTTAGAGGTATACTACAAACCCCAAAGCAACCACTAGTTACTTCTGATAAATCAACATACGTTACTTAACTAATGCAAATAAAGGATGAATAAGAGAGGAAAAGAAACAAGCCACAGGTAGGGCAAATAGAAAGCAGATAGCTAGATGGTGGCCTTCCATCCAGCCCTGGCAGTCATCCTATCAAATGTAAATAATTTAAACGCTAATTAAAAGATAAAGATAATCAGAATTATAAGACCTAAATATAAACTGTGTATAAAAAAACTCACTTTATATATAAGGACAAAATAGATTACAAGCAAAGGGTGGACAAAGATATACCTGCTAACAGTAATGAGAGAAAGCAGGAGGGGCAAGGGATGTAGCTAGTGGTAGAGCTCTTGCCTAGCATGCGCAAATTCTGGATGTGATTCCCAGCACAGGAAAAAAAGAAATGCTGGCGTGGCTATATTAATAGTGCTCAAAGCAGGTAACAGGGGGTAAATAATGATACAGGGGTGAATATGTCATGCAGGCATAAAAACCCTAACTCTTTATGTGCCCATTTAATAGAACTTCAACATATGAACTAAAACTTAGTTGCAAAAGAAAAAAAAGAAAAAGAAAAAACCAGATATTCTAACAGCTCGGTAACTGGTAGCATGGATAGAAAATCAGTAAGAACTGCAGACTTGAATAATGCCATCAACCAGTTTGAGCCAACTGACAGCTATACAACATTTCATTCAATGGTAGCACACTATTATAGTGACTTTTTAAGTCACTAGGACATTAACCAAAGAGAGACCATATTTTGGCCTATAAAACATGTCTCAATAAACTTACAAGTCACATTATAAAAAGTATGTCTCTGACCACAATGGCATCAAATTATAGATCAATAACCAAGATATCCTTAAAAATTCAAATATTTGGACTTAATAACAAACTTTTAATTAACCTAGAGATAAGGAAAAAATCATAAAGGAAATTTTTAAAATTATGAACTGAATAAAATGAGAACGCATGTACCAAAATTTGTGGGACACTGATAAAACAATATACTCACGGGGAAATTTTAAAAGCCCTACATGGTTTGATCCCCAGAGCCAAAACAAAACAAAAAAACAAAAAGCATAAAACATCTCCACCCCTTATTAAATACCACCGAATCAGCTGAGCTTCAGTCAACTAAGCAAACAAACAGAAGTTAACAGTTCGGGTCCAGAATTTCTTGAGACTATATGCAAATTGATAAATTTGGTTTGATACCGGGTTATATCCTACCCTCTTTGATGTAATATGCTAATAATCCATAATTTCCTAGGTTTCTGCTGATAAAAGTTTGCAAAGCTTTGCAATTCTTTTAGAGGTCAGATTCTTGCTTTCCGTTCTGTGGAGCATCAGAGATCCTGGTCAAGGTTGAAAGGCAGGACCTAAGTAAGGTATGGATATCCCTTTGCAGGGCCCTAACGAGGTCCTCACGTCATGGGAACTTTCGGCAAGGGAAAGTTAGCTTTCTCACACATAGGAGGCAAACTGCCTCTGGCGACTAGGGAGCTCAGAGTTAGCCCTGGGGTTTCACCATTCTCAGCGTTGTCCATGTCTATCTAGACATCCCCATTCCAAGCTGCCGGTTCAACTTCCTTCAGTCAGTGTCCCAAACGAGATACTGTAAAGGCTGCGCAATTTTGTTACCAGCACATTTAACACTGGGTTCAATGTTTGGAAAGCTTGATTCTGTGGCTACATAAGATAAAGTGCTTTAGAGCCACAGAAACTTTCCAAGACTTGAGCTGGTCCTTTTCTTTCTGAAAATTTGGCAGCAGGCGCAGAAGCAATCAGTCCTTCAAGTCACCATGACTGCGGTAACCAAGCGCTTTAACCACTTGGTGCCCCGAGGCACATGCTTCAGAAGTCAATTCTATCACAGTCAACCGAAGGTGGTGATTTAATTAATTATGATGCCATTACACAACGTGGTGAGCCTTATTACTCATCAGCAAGGAAGGGAAGAATGAACCAACCCCTAAATGCTATGTTTGCGGGGGGTTTCTCCCCATCATCCCATTCTGAGTAACACTCGCTATCAGTCAGGGCCCAGTCAAAAGACCAAAACCACACCAGTCATTCTAACATAGAGAATTTAATGTTTAAAAAATGTTAACCAGGGCTAGGGGCATGGCTCAGGGGTGGGGCACTCGCCTGGCATGCAGTAAGGCCCTGGGTTCATTGGGGGGGGAAAATGAATCAAATGCTGAAGAACTAAAAAGGTAAAGGGGGACAGTGAGTATCAAAGTCGTAGTAACAGCAGGAAGCAGCTATTATTCTAGGATAAAGGAACAGAGAAAAGAGAATCACTACAGTTTAGAAATTTGGAGTACAGACCCCATGGAGCTAGCACTCAGATTTAAAGATGACACTGGTACCTTAAAAAGGGGGTGCGGATGCAATGAGACTGGTTCCAGAGAAGTAGAAAATAATAAGCTGGAACAACTGAGACCACTGCTAGAGTAGCACTGCTGCTGTGGGAAGTCAGACAAGCAGAACGCAGGAAGTCCCAGCGTCTTCTGCTGGCCCTTCAGTCTGTCTCCCTTGTGGTTGGGGAAGCCTGATAGGCAGCCAGCAAGGAAAGGAGAGAGGTGGCTTAGAGTTTCACCTCACACCCGCAAACACTATGCAAGGGTGCTGTGACGCTGACAAACAGCACAACAGCCTGTCCTCCAGTCAAGAGGAGGTGGGGAATAGTTGCTGGGTCAGGGTCTTGATGATTTGAAACTGAGAAAGGGTGTATGTGGTATTTGGGGCTTCTTTCTGCACGATGCTTGACAGGAGCTGTTAAAGCTCACAGAAACCACCATGTACCATCCTTCTGGTTCCATGACTCTTTGCTATTGCACTGGGATCACAAGCAGATGCTCCTGTTCTTTCTCCACTCCTACCAGCGCAGTGGAAAGACCCAAGAGGAAAAACTCGCAGTACTAAGAACCATGACAAAGAAAACAGAAGACCAATGGAGATTGTAGTAGGTTATCTATTTTACTCTTCTGGCAGGAATACTATGAGAAAGATGTTTTGTGAAACCGAAATGGTATCCACGTGTTCAGTTTCTAGCTAATACATCTGCAGCCATGGCTAAATTTCAAAGTAACACAGTACAAAGTTGATCTACAGAGGCAAAGTAAATCAGGTGGGAAAAAGTGCTTGAATGAGGCTCAAGATGACTGGTTCAGCCCAAATCAGAACGGAAGTGACTGTACTTTTGTGGGCCTGTGGCCTCAGCAGTGCTCAGCCCAGTTTCCAGAAGTTTGAAAATTACCTGGGCTTCCATGCTTATAAAAGTGATTAAGAAATGATTAAATACTTAAACCAAGCCTTAAACCTGGCAGAACCAGGATCTGAACCTAGGTTTGTGTGACTCCATTACAGCTGGGACAAAAGTTCGGCTCCTGACTCCCCTCAACACTGATGCCAGAATCATTATCCATATGGATTTCATTAATTTTCCTAATGTGAAATGCTAATGTCTAAGACACCTAATTACCTGGCCTATTTAAAATAAAAACGTAAGCATATAATCAGCTAGGTAATGAATTTTTTTATGGAGAGAAAGTATGTTGCTTTAGGAGAACAACACCAACATTACAGGCATTTTAAAATCTTGTGTTAAGACTGCTTTTCTCATTTGACACCTTCCTAATTCCAGTTACAAACTTTCCCTAATGAGTAACAACACTAAAACCTGATGGGTCAAGACTAACTAAGTGTGTAAGACTGGTCTTTCTCTCCCCCCACAAAGGAATTTTATGCTCACCAACCGATGGGGTGGGGAGCAGTGTGGAAATGTTAAAACTTTAGTTAGTTGCTGTTTTAAAGTAATGACAAATATGTGACCAAAAGAGATTTGTGAACTTGTTTACAGTCGGTTTAGTTACTAACATGTCCCTGCTCATGCCGTGTTCTCTAAAATGCCTTCTTTTTTCACTATCCACATCCAACTATTCTTCAGGATGCTCATTCTCCAAAACACAGCTCATGTCTCTCCTCAGTCATCTCATACCTGTTCAGGCCATGGCTTATTATCCACCTGGGCAAGCTGTTCAGCACATTTTACACCCCACCTTTTCAAGAGGCTATGAAGGTTAGAAAACTCTTGTGGGTAGTGATATGGTTTCAACCAGTGTGCATTTATAAGACTTTCGTAAACATGATACAGTGCCATCTCTTCAAGAGAGAAACTAGACTCCCTGGCCTAAAGACCTGCTCGGTGGTTATCCAACAGTGTATTCTCCTCGCCTCCAATAGGTAAAATGCCTATACCACACAGTGTAACTTAATTCTAAGATCTCATCCAGCTCCACAATTTGATTTGTATAGTCCCATTGGCTGAATATGAATTCCAAAGGTAAACAATTCGTATAGAAAGCACACTTCTCAAAAGATAAAAGAAATCAGCTGTAAGTTCCGCTGAAAGATCTGAGGCCAAGTTAGTTTCCAGGCCAGGTCGGAAACACAATTAGCCTTGTTGACGACGGGTGACGGCCTCCCCCGGCACGCAGCAGGCCCCGAGCGGGGACAAAGCCTCCTGGACCAGCACTATCCCAAGGAGTCCAGGCGCTTCCTGGCTGCCGTGTCGCTTAGAAACAAAGCTGGGGCCAGGGCCGCAGGTTGCCAGCGCGGTGCCCGGGGACAGTGGGGTTCCCGCACCCCCTCGATGGCCCCGGGCTGCCCTCTGTCCCCGAGCGTCGGTCCCTCCGTCCTGGCTCCCAGTCCAGGGACACTTACCATCCCAGTACCAGGCCGGTGGTCACGATGAAGCAGGTGAATACCACCGCGATGTAAAACAGCGGCGAGTATTCATACAGCGTCACCAGAAACACCGCAGCCATCAGGGTCTCGGAGGTTGAACCGGGCTCCCGCCGCCTAGCCCGACCCAGCTCAACCCAGCCGGGCCGGGAGTCAAAGCCTCTACGGTGATGCGGAAGAGACAAACTTCGAAGGTCTTACTCGCCAGGGAGCTAGATGTCCGGTCGGCTGGCGCAATGGAAGCCAGCGAGCCAATCACAACATCGCTAGCCGGGCGTGCCACGCCTCCTGCGAGCCCGTTCCGAATTATTGGCTCTACGGAGAGGCGGGGACGCACCTCGTAACGCCCCCCACTCCCAGGATTGGTTTCCGGCAGCTCCTTCTCTACCCGTCTGGTCCAATGGTCATCGCTGGTCCACAAAGACTAAATAGGAACTGGGACCAAACTTGTCCAAAATTCAGGTAAATGCACGTTTTCTGATGCCTCAGAGAGGTTTAATCCGTGTGCACCGTTTAGAAGTCTGGACACCCTGAATATGAAATCCTGGGCTAATGTAGGAAGAGGAGAGCAGGCATCATAGGCTCTACCAAGGGAAATACCCTCACACCTGATCAGACTTCTGTCTGAACTACGCGTAAGTAGGCACAGTAAGAACCTAAAAAGGAGCCTCTACCACAGGTAATTTATACGAACCTTGTCAGCCTTTTCAAATTGGGTCTAATCATAAAGGAAAATTAGTATGTGTAATTAAAACTCTTAAAGATACCCTCACCCCCTTTTCACCTCTTCCAACTCCCCTTGACTTGGAACTGGCCAGACCTTTCGACTTTGTAATACTCATTTTCACTGTGATAATTTTTAAAAGCGTTAAGGGAGAAGACTTTTTAGTGCAGAAGTAGCAACTTGTCTTCCTGAATTCCCTCCCAACACTTGCATCTTTTTGGTGTGCATTTAATCCTAAAACAAAACCAGGTTACAGCATACAAGAGGTAAATGCAGTGTGATTATTCTGAGCAGCAATACCCACGTTACAAGTCAGGATTTTGTTACTGAGGCAGAAGGGGAGAATGAACATTGGGATGGGTACCTAGAAAGCACCGGCAACATTCATGCTTGAACAAGATCAGTTCGGTTTGTCCTATAGCCTCATGTATCCCTGGGGAAATTATCATGAATTCTCCGGAGTAGTGTTGAGACGCTTGCTTCTACAATATAATTTTAATTACCTTCTAATTACTATATAGTTGATTTATGAAAGTGTAGTTTAATCAGCTCTCCATTGTTGAAAATTGTTTCATTATTAAGAACAAAGCTGCAATGAGCATCCTTAAAACTAAATCCTTCAGAATAAATTATTAGAGGTGTGAATTTTGTTTTAAAAATAGGTACATTTGTAAGATTTTGGAGAAATATCCAGAAATGTAGTACCAACTTGTACTCCCCACCCTTGCAACCACAGTTGTAACCATCATTTGACACTGTCACTTAAAAATCTTCATCAATTTGAAAGGCAGTTTTATTGCAGTGAGCCAATAAAGAATGTTCATCACAAAACAAAAATGTAGAAAGTAAAGTGGCATTAAACATCTAATTTTGCTCCCTCCCTAACTCCACTAAAACTATAGTGAAGATATAGCGTAAAATGTAAATAAAAGTCAAGAATAACTGGAAATAAAGACACAGCAATGATATACTGGAAGATGAAAAGCAGATATACTAATCAGGCCATGAGAGCTGAATCCCAAACCAGCAATACAGAAAACTGAGACCTGGGCTGGAGATTTAGCTCAGTGGTGCTGCACTTGTCTCACAAGTACAAGGTCCTGAGTTGGATCCCTTGGTCCGGCGGGGGGCGCGGGCAAAAACTGAGACTTAACCTGGTTTATAATGAAAAATTCTCTACAACAGGAACGAACACAGACTTACCTCAAGCCCTTATCATTTCCCACATGAATTTCTACTACAGCCAGGGAAACCTGCCTTTCCTTCCTACAGATTTTTTTCCCCCAACGTACTCTGTACAGTGTTAGCAAGGCTGACTTTTTTATAGCACCTATTTTACTTTACTGCTGAAAATCTTGGGTTGTAATGTTGTATTTCTTTGAAGATAATGCAATGTCATGGTTGGAATACCTACTTTTATATGTCTTGACTCCCTCTTAACTCTCATTTAAAATTATTTAGTGTTTTATATGTGGTAGACATGCTAAACAACAGAAAAACAAAAATAGCATATTACCTTTTCTAATGGAGTTTACCATTTAGTAGAAAAGATAATTATTAACCACAGAACTCTGAAGAACATTGTAAGTTCTATTTAAGAGAGATACAAAGAGATATGAGAATTTACAATGAGGTAATAGAGGAACATAAGGTACATCGGGATGAACAGATGACTGAGATGAGATTGGATGGAAGAGGTTTATCAAAGGAACAGAAAAGGAGAAGCATTTAGGGCACAAGCTACACAACAAAGTCCTTGAGGTGATAGAAATCACAACACGCTTGAAAAACTGAAAGGCCAGTGTGGCTGAAGTTTGGAGAGTTAGGAGAAACAAAGTAGGAGCTATTGGCCAGACCACACAGGTGTCTCGCCTTCTTAACTATTTAAAATTTATCCTAAAAGCAACAAAAAACCACTGACCTGCTTGAAGGGGTCAAGGACAACAATCCTTTTACATGTGTAGTCCATCGCTTTAGTACACAGAAAACTTGATTGGAAAGAGGCTAAAGTGAATACCAGTAAATATGGGGCTATCAATTACTAGATTCTGTCAAAAGCCAGGCAAGAAACACTGCCAACTCTGATCAGGAAGGGGAGGACAACTTGCAGCAAAGTAGATTATTAGTTAGAAGTGGTTTTTATCTGTGAGTGACCAAAAACCCCAACAATAATAGTATCTTAATCAAGGTCAATGTATTTCTCTTAATTGAAAGTCCTGAGGTAGGGAAAGCAGAGACAACAGAAGGCCACCTTGTGCAAGGGACCCAGACACCTATTTTCCTCCACTGTATCTGGCTCCCATTCCCAAGGACAGCTCATGATCGAAAATGATTGCTCCACCTTCCAGCCATCGTGTCCATATTTCTGCTCGCCCGAAGGAGGAAAAGAAGGCAAACAGACACCACTCCCGTTCATGGAGAGGGGAGAGGGGGGAGAAAGGGCAAGACCGGGAAAGAAAGAACTCCAATCTCCTCAGGTTTTCCAATACTCCACCAGTTTGGGTGACTCACAGACTACGAGCCGGATCTCAGAAAGAACTACCTCCACCCCAGCAGGGAAGGGGAGAGGCGGACTCACGCGTTCTGCCTAGTTTTGAGCCGCGCCTCCCGCCGTCCTCCGTCACGTGCCGGCTGCGGCCGCGCTGATAGGCTGGAGCGACTCAGCCGGGCTCCGGGCCGGAAGGGAGGTGGCCGCCGCACCATTCTTAAAGGGGCCGAGGAAGAGGCGAAGGGCTGCAGACTGTCGGAAGGAAAATGGTGAGCTACTCTGGGGAGGG